CTCTGTAAGGAAGTGGCAGATTTTCTCCGGTTGTGTATTTTCAAATTCTAGCGCACTCGAGCTGGTTTCTCCAAAATGACCTACCCCACCTTTAAGTGAATCAAACATCCAAATATAAGGAAACATTTATCTTGAGTTTACTTTATTTGTCAGACCAACCATTTAAAATCCTTGAAGCATTACAGTTTTAAAATGTTTTAGAAAACAAAACAACAAATTGCTATAGATAAGGAAGCTAATGCCTGGCAAGCTTTACTGATGAACAAAAATGATCAAAATGGTTGGTAATTGATATTCAGTTGTCTGACTAATTGATTAAGTGTCAAATTGTGTCAGGACTTGTTGACGTAACAACCCCGACCTCTCCTAATATCACAATGTGTTATTTTTCCATCTTTGTTTTGGTAGTTTGGATTGATCAAGCACTACATTAAGTAGTTAATTTAAGAGGTTCTGGTGGGCAGATTTTGGACAAAGCCAGCCTATAGTCTCTCTTTCAATGCTAAACCAAGCTAACATGCTGCTGTGGGTAGCTTCATATTTATAGTACAGACTCGAGACTGGTATCGATCTTCTCACGTAACTCAAGAAAGCAAATAATCCTATTTCCAAAAACTACTCATCTAAATGATGTCATTGAGGTGTGCCACCTGTTTAGCCAGCCCTGTTTGAGCAATCACAATCTCAATTTAGTCTGGAGAAGAGATACATGAGATAGAAGAAATTTAAAAGTTGTACCTCTTCATTCTTGTATTTGAATGGAACAATAGGGAAAAGGAAAATCAGTTCTTGATAGAACTGCTTGCATCATGTAGGGATTTAATCGGACCTGTGTTAAAACAACATATTCGTCAGTGTTATTATGTTATCTTTGCATACAGTCTCTCTTCTGATCTTTTAACATGCAAACACAGTGTTCCTGCTGTCTCGCTGTAAATAGTTTGTCATCATTCAACCTCTGCATGATTGAAGACTTTATAAATATGAGAGCATTTTTGTTCCTCTGGATAAATCTCAGTTGTGTTGTGTAAAGTCACTCTGACAGGTAAATGAAAGTGTCTGCACCCTGATCTGAGTAATGGTTATGTAGAGCCAAAAGAATCATGTTGAACCTTTTCTGCTCTGTCACCGCTTTCGTTAGGGTGGTAAATCGCGAGTTACACCGTAGCTTTTATCCAGAAGTGTGGAGGTCAAAGGTCAGTCAGCTGATACTAGCTGCAGATCAGAGGGGCCCATTCACATGTTGTGATTGCATCAGGATGGTGAAGAAGATGAATACTGGCTCTAACGTGTTGAACAGACTTTAACTGGATGACGGCACCATGTAATCGGTTACTATTAGCAACCACCTTAAGTTCCTCCTCAGCCTTTGCTGTCATTTGTATCCATTAGCACTTAAATAAAGGGCATCAGTCAGAAATTAGACAACGTTTTTGAATGTATCTGAGAGGGATGCTCCGATCACCAATGTTGGGCCGATCACCGGAATCAGTATTGACCGATGCTGATCTGATGGAGTGGGTGGGGGCTATGGGGATCTTCCATTTAAAGTGATGTTTACAACTCAGTTAATGAGGCTCATTCACTGGAGCTTCCACAAACAACACGCCGACAGTGCGCTCTGCGCGTTCTGCTCTCTCGTCGTCTTCGCCGCTGCGCTCCTCTCTCTCTCTCTTCTCCTTTTCTTCGCCGGAAGCGAGTAAAAGGAGGGCACAATTAATAGGTTTCAAATTACATTTGAACTATCTATCAATGCAAGGTAAACCTCTACATTATTAAT